CAAGACAGCCCCGAGCTGTGCAAGACTAAGGGTTTTTAAGGTTTTTTCCAGGGAGGGTGATCACGGACCAGAACAGCCAGGGGAAGGGTTTTGTGGCGAGAGTCAGTTATGTTGCCAGCACATCTGGTACTTTTATGGATGGGGTTGACCTTTGTGGTCTGGCCAGGAGATGGGGAAGTTAGCAGGGGTACAACAAGTTCTCAGGGGTTGGGGGGTTTTTGACCTATCATCCCAGACTTTCTTTAGTAAGGATAAGGGCGATGTGATCATCTGACTGCTTCCTGCTGGAGAGGGGCGTCGACAAGGGTCTCGTCTGGGATGAAGTCTTCACGGCACCTCGTCTGGGTTGTCAGTTGGCGCCACCTGGTAAGGGGGATCTGAGAGAAGCATAAGGTTAAAATTTGGGGTTGTGAGTTGCGTTGTGAGTTTTTGAACAGTGTTGCGGATGAGAGAGATGATACAAGAAGCTATGAGAAGCATGATACAGAGCCCCGCGACTGATCCTAACAAGGGTAAGAGCCATGGCAGGAAGTTACTCCACAGTCCCGTGTGGGAATTGGCCATTCAGTAGGACTGGGCATGCTGTTTGAGTTCTTGGATCTTTTGTTGGATTACCCCGGACTAGTTGGCAAAGAAAGAGCACTCTTCCCCTAAGAAGAGACAAGTACCTCCCTTTTCGGCCGTCAGGAGATCAAGAGCATGTCTGTTTTGGAGGACCGCTGCTGCAAGCTGTTGGATCTGTGAAGGGACTAGTGAGAAGGTATCAGTGATATGTTCCAGGTCCTCAGCTGTCTTATTGGCCAGTTGGAGATGGAGGGCGACAGCTGTGCTCACACCAGCTGCCCTGAGGGCCCCAGTGGAGATGGAGGACCCCAGAAGAAGACCAAGGTGAGCCGCTCTTTTTTGGCAGAGGTAGAGGTTTCTTGAAGAGAGGAAAAGGTTATCGAATTCTCCCTCTGTGTATAGGTTGAAGTTGGGTATGGGAAGTGCAGGGAGACAAGTTAGATTTGGTTGTAGGCAATTAAAGAGAGTTGAGCCACAAAGATAGAATTGTTTTTTGTGAGAAACAGAGGTTTTTGAGGCTGGGGGTGTTGTGGCCTGGTTGTATGGGAGGGATCTATGAGAACTTGTGGAGGAGCCATAGCATGTCAGGTTAGCATTTGGCAGCATATATAGGAAAGGGTCTTTGTAAGACGGGGCAGAGGAGTTACAGACAGAAGTGAAGTTGTATTGCCAAGGAATGATGGCTCTAGAGGGGTTAGAAAGGGAAGCACAGAGCCAGCAACTAGATAAATTTGTGGGTGTTGAAGAGATTAAATAGATGATTTCCTTAGTGACATTGACTATGCTGGCCTACAGAGTGAGAATGGTGTTAGGGCCTTTTTGATCTTAGGGAGGCTAGGAGGCGGAATAGGGGGGATGTACCAAGCACGGTAAATTCTGATAATGCCATAGGGGTCTCTCCCCGTTCCATCTATCCTAATAGAGGCCATGCGTCCCTTTAACCATTTGTCATTCCAAGGGTCCTGGATGATGATTTGGGTAGGGTTACAGTTATGAGACTGGCACGGCCACTGAGGCGCAGGCAGAGGTTTGATAGAAATGCCTGCCCTAGAGGAGCCTGAGTGGTAATGAGGGCAATTCCACAAGGGGCAGTAGCCCTCATCAACATTATCACAGTCTGAGTGGACTCCTAGTTGTTCGTCCTTGAAACAGAGGTATTTGTGATCTTTGGTGTAGTCCCTTTCCCAGCTAAGTGATCCACAGGAGCCCCAGCCCGTAGTAGGAGCACAGGCATCCATCTGTAATGTAATAGCAGATGAGCAGCCAGCGATAGGACAGTCAGTGTAGTTTAGTGTAGTAGAAGAGCCTATTGCTATATAGAATCTCCATCGTCCCTGAGCCTGCGAAAGTGGAACATAAACAAGGAGGAGGGAAATGAGCAGAGTTATTCGGGGACTGAGGAAAGAGTGGGAGAACGATGAAAGAGAAGTCGGGTGGGGGAAATGGCGTGAGTTGACCATCGTTGGTTGGTTGAAGGAGCTTGCTTGAGGTGGGACAGGTGAACCCAAGAAGGTTTTCCCAATAGTTTGGCTGTGGTGGGCGTTGTGAGGACGACAGTGAAGGGTCCGGTCCACCTAGGAGAAGAAGCAGAGAGGGTGAGATTTTTTAGGAGACTTGATTACCAGGGAAGAGATGGAGATCCGAGACTGTCGCAGTGGGTTTGGGTAGATACTGGTCAGCATGAGAGCAGAGGAGGTGTTGGGCCAGAGAAAGCAGAGGCAGGTAGTTTTGCAAGGGGCTGGAGTCCAAAGGGTGCAGTTGGTGAAGGAGGAAGGGGCTACCATACATAAGCTTGAAGGGGCTTAGACCAGTCAGTTTATGAGGGGTGGCATGTAGGTGGGTGAGGATGGCAGGTAGCAGAGAGGGCCAGGACTGTTGAGTCTCTGTGGAGAGTTTGGAGGTTTGAGCCTTAAGGAGATGGTTAGCCTTTTCCATCTTACCAGATGATTGGGGATGGTAAGGTGTGTGTAGAGCCCACTGTATGTTGAGGGTCTGGGAGACCTGTTGAGTTATTTTAGATGTGAAGGCTGGTCCATTATCAGATTGGATAGACCTTGGCAGGCCAAAACGAGGGATGATGTGTGAGAGGAGGACTTGGGTTACAGTGTCGGCCGTCTCATGCATGGTGGGGAAAGCTTCTATCCATCCCGTGAAGGTATCTACCCAGGTCAAGATGAAGCGGAGTTTTTTGTGTCTGGACATGTGAGTGAAATCAATCTGAAAATCTTCTCCCGGCAGTGACCCTCTTAATTGGTGTGGAGTGAAGGAGAGGGGTGGGTGGAGTGAGCCCTGAGGATTTGTTTTAGAGCAGGCAGAGCAGTGTGAGGAGATCTCTTGGAGGAGAGTGGTTAGTCTGGGGTAGTATATGATGGGGTCTAAGAGTCTTTTGAGTGGTCTCCATCTAATGTGGAGGGAATTGTGGGCGTCAGTGAGGAATTGCTCTGTCTGATCATCAGGAGGAGAGTATTTACCCTTCAGTATGAGCCATCCTTTAGGTCTGGAGATGGCCCCCTGCTGTGTGAGCTTTTTATATTGTGAATCAGAATATGAGAGGTCTGTTGGACAAGCTGGGGAGCCAGTACGGAAGGGTATTAGGGAGCAAGCCTGAGGGTGGCCAGGGTTGTAGGGCCACCGATTTAGCGTCTCTGTCTGCCTTATCATTGCCCTCAGTGATCCAATCAGGGATATGTTGGTGACCTCAACAGTGCAAAACGGCCACCTGTGTAGAGAGGGACGTGGCCTTGAGAAGTTCTAGGATTAATTTGCCATTTTGGATAGAGGATCCCTTAGTGGTGATAAAGCCTCGCTCTGCCCAGATGGCAGCATGGTGGTGGACTAAGTGACAGGCATATTTGGAGTCAGTGTAAATATTGGCAGTGGCTCCTGAGGCTAGGGTTAGGGCGTGGGTGAGGGCTATGAGTTCTGCCTTTTGGGAAGAAGTGCCTGGCGGGGAGAGGATTAGTCTCAATGACCTGGGTTAGAGACACTATAGTGTATCCCACTCATGAGCCCTCAGAGTTTGAGGAGGACCTCCTGTCAATGAACCGTGTATGTTGGGGTTTAGGGAGGAGTTGTGTGTGTACTGTGGTGGCTGTAGATATGAGGTCCTCTAGAGATTCCACACAGGAGTGTGAAGGGAGGGAATCCGAGGATGGGAGGAGAGAGGCAGGGTTAAGGATCCCACACAGTTTAAGTGTAACTTGTGGGTTTTCAGTAAAGGTTAGATGAAAGAGTTGTAGATGAGAGGGTGCCAGTAAGTGTAAGGATTGGTGCAACAGTAGGTCAGTGAGGTGGTAAGGGGAGTAGACAGTGAGTTGTCCCTGGAGAGTAAGCTTTTGAGCCTCTTGAGCTAGAATGGCCACTGCCATGAGAGCCCAGATGCAAGGGAACCAACCTCATAAGGTCCAGTTGTTTGGACAGGTAAGCTATGGGGATAAGATCCGGGCTGTGACACTGTCCCAGGACCCCCAGTGCCATCCCTCAAGACTCCATCGTGTATAAGTGGAAGGGCTGGGAGAGGTCAGGCAGGGCTAGCACAGGGGCCTTCAGTAGGGTGTCCCTCAACCAGGTAAAAGCTTGGAGGATAAGGTTGGGTTGTCCTGGTGGCTCCTTGGGGGGGCCGCGAATGGCTTTATATAGGGGTCTTGCGAGGAGTGCAAAACCAGGAATCCACAGGCGGAAGTATCTCACAAATCCCAGGAAGGATTGGATCTGTTGTTTGGTTGTAGAGACTGTAGAGAGTGGAGGGCTTCCCTGCAATCAACGGTGAGGTCCCTCATGGTAGGGGTGAGTTGGAATCCTAAATAGTGAGCTGAGGGGAGGGAGAGTTGTCCCTTAGATTGGCAGATGCAGTAGCCTTTTTAAGAAAGAGAGTTTAGGAGGAGTACCATGTGAAGGTGTGAGAAATGAAGAGAGGGACTACATAGGAGCAGGTCATCGACATATTGGATCAGGTAGCTGGGTTTGAGGTCTAATATGGCCAGGTTGGCTATGAGGGCTTGGCCAAAGTAATGTGGGCTATCTCAAAATCCTTGCAGTAGGACAGTCCTGGTCAGCTGGGATGAGACCTGGGTTGTGGGGTCCTCCCAGGTGAAAGCAAAGAGCGGGTATGATGAGGGGTATAGGGGAATGGTAAAAAAGGCATCCTTGAGGTCCAGGACCGTGAAATGGTTGTGTCTGGCTGGATATGGCTGAGGAGGGTGTAGGGGTTGGGAACCACGGGGCTGACTGGGCGGACAGCAGAATTAATGACTCAGAGGTCCTGTACTAGACGATAAGAACCATTGGGTTTAATGACAGGGAGGATGGGAGAGTTGTATGGAGAGTGTGTGGGGATAAGAAGGTTTTGTTGGAGAAGATGGTCGATTAGGGGTTTTAGTCCCAATCAATGTTTGAGTGAGATAGGGAACTGAGGACGGTTTGGGAAGACAGAAGGGTCTTTTAAGGTTACAATAATGGGGGGGGTGATGTGCCACCGTGGGCTGTGAGGTGTCCTAAACCATGGGAAAGACTTTGTCCAAAGGGAAGTCTGATGCGGGGGTTTTGAGTTTGGGATACGGGTGGACGGAAGAAGAGCCATTAGCAGAGGGAGCTAGAGGTTTGGGAAATGAAAGTGTGATTTGGAGTTTGGCAAGGCCATCCCGTCCCAGCAGGGGTATAGGGCATCGGGGCATGACCAGAAAGGAGCAAATGAAGAATTTGGTCCTGATTAAGCACAGAAGGGGTCTGGTGGTATGTGGCTGTTGGGGAGAGCCTTTGACTCCCATAACCATGACCCTTGAAGGAAATGTTTGACCCAAGTAGCTTGGGAGGATAGACCATGATGCTCCCGTATTGACAAGGAAGGAAATTGATTTACCTGCCACATGGATGTTTACCCTGGGCTCCTCAGATGTGAGTTGAACCACATCCACCTCATTGGTGGGGACCTGGAGTCCAGGGCCCTGTCAGTGTTCCTTGGCCAATCCAAGCAAGTCCGCCAGGGGCGCGTGAGATTCTGGGTGTTGTTTAGGGGTGGAGGACAACCTCTGCCCGCTGTGTGGAGGGACAGTCCACCTTCCAATGTCCCAGTTGCTTACACTATGGGCATGGTCCTGGGGGTGGCTGTGGGTTAGGACACGACCTTGCCCAGTGGCCCTCTTGCCCACATTTGAAGCATGGGCCAGGTGGTTGCTTGTTGGCTGAGGGCTTAGAGGTCAGCCTCTGGGGTTGGAATACAGAGGGAAAGGTGGGAGTGGGAGGGCTGATGAGGAAGGGGACCTAGGAGAGGGAGAGGGTTGGTGATGGAGGCTGCGGGAAAGGATCTTTCTGAGTGAGTGGAGAGGAGGGGGCATAAAGGAGGGGTACTCACGGATCGGAGAGAGGAGGCTGTGTGTGAGTGGAGGCGTCTGCAATGTGGCAGGTCCGAGGCTCGTGGTCTGCTCAGAGGTGGACGGTTGTGGACCTGGGGCAAGGCCCTTGATCGGGAGGGACCGGCAGAGGCCTCAGCATCCCTCCTGGGTTTCGGCACCGAATGATCAGGCTGAGACCCACACGAAACCAGCCCAGACCTTCTGACACAAGAGAAGTCTTTATTAGATGGGAGATCAACGCGGTGGGCTGCCCAGCAGACCAAGACAGCCCCGAGCTGTGCAAGACTAAGGGTTTTTAAGGTTTTTTCCAGGGAGGGTGATCACGGACCAGAACAGCCAGGGGAAGGGTTTTGTGACGAGAGTCAGCTATGTTGCCAGCACATCTGGTACTTTTATGGGCAGGGTTGACCTTTGTGGTTTGGCCAGGAGATGGGGAAGTTAGCAGGGGTACAGCAAGTTCTCCAGGGAGGGGGGAGTTTTTTGACCTATCAGTTTTTTTGCCTGCCAAAAAAAACAAACCAACAAAACTGAAAAAGGTGATGAGTGCATTTAAACAGTGAACATTAGACCCATGGATGAGTTTGTTAGTAACTTTGGAACCATACTAAAAGCCAAGGGAAGTATTCCCTCCTGTCCTACAGAGAATGAAAGCTGTAGGCCGTCCATTTTACCTGCTAGGTTACAAATCTCGCAGGGTCTGGACATAGACTTTCAAAATGGAGCAGCAACTAGCCAAGGCAGGGGCTAAGATGAAAAATTGTCTACAGTCAAAGTTATTTAATTATTTTTTACTAATCTGCTAGACAGTTCTTCCCTGTCAAGTTGACATATCACAATCTATCCCTTAACAAGTAATTACACCTCCATAAAACATGCTTAATCTCCAAATACAACAGCAAGTTATAATTATACCTAACACAATACAACTATTCCGTGTACAAGAGAAACTACAGATTCCCTCCCCATCACCTAAAATTCTCCTTTAGGTGATGCTTACTCTTCTCCTAACATTCCATATGTAAAAACATTATAATCTATTTCCATGGGCTGGGGATATAGCTCAGTAGCACAGCACCTACCTGACAAGCACAAGGTCATGAGTTCGACTCCCAGTACAAAAAAAAATCAATTAATGCCAGGTGTGGTGGTACATGCCTGTAATACTTTGAACTAACTTTGTAGCCCAGGCTGGCCTCAAACTCAGTGATCCTCCTGCTTCAGCCTCCCAAGTGCTGAGATTTGAGGCATGCAACCATCACACCTGGCTTTCTTTTCTTTTTTTAAAGATGAGTTCTTACTGTGTTTCCCAGACTGGTCTTAAATTCCTGCGCTCAAGTGATCCTCCTGCCTCAGCCTCCCAAGTACTAGGATTACAGATGTGTGTTTCATTGCCCAGCTAAAATAATTTTTTTTCCTTTCCTTTTTTTTTTTAAACAAGGTCTTGCTATGTAGTCAGATTGGCCTTGAACTCAGTATGTAGACTAGGCTGGCATTGAACTTGCAGTGATCCTCCTGCCTTAACAGCCTAAAATATGTTTATATATTTTTTGGTACCAGGAATTGAGCTCAGGGCCTCACGCTTGCTAGGCAGGCACTGTGCCACTGAGCTATATCTCTGGTCCCTAAAATAGTATTTGTTAACAACACCGTCATTTTCTTCAAGCCATCTGAGACCTCTACCCCTGCCACCTGTCCCAGCATGCCTGTATAAGTCTACCTGCCTTCCACATCCTTCTTTCCCTGACTTTTACACTCTTTCACCTCTCTTGCAATCATTACCACCCTCTTTTCTCACCAGAGAACCCTGTGGCTCTTTGCTAACTGAGATTAAGGCACCACTTATCCTCAAGGGCAAATTCACTTGGCTGGAATGAATTGCATTACCCTTGATCACTGTTCTAAGTTAATAAGTACCAATCTTCCTTGCCATGTGAAAGAAAAAATTGGTTTCTGGGGATTTCACTATTTTATTTTACTAGGGGCCTCTCTAGAGACAGCCAAATGAAAAAGTAAGTATTCAACCATTATGGCACTGGCCCTGACTAATTGGGTTTGACTGCTTGGGCATACCTGCACAAAAGCTTTCAGATGAAATGTGCATCTTTGTTGTGTGAACGTAATTTAACACTCTCCCATGGGGACGTTTTCTGAAGTTGCTGGAAAATTTGCAATCTCAGGTTGAGACTTAAAACAACTAAATTTAAGCATTGACTGAGTTCTTGATGCAAAAAGTTACAAAACCTTGGAAATTGGACCACAAAAGGAAACGGTGATAGACCATTAACTTTGGCGGTTAGTGTGTGTTACTGTCACTGCAACACTTAAAAACTGTGTTAGGGTAAATTAAATCTTTTGACTTTCAGTAATTAAAGATGCCCTGAGACAATACAACTTCATAGATTCTGGCTTCTTGAGTTCTGTAATTAAGTGACCTTATAGATTGGTTTTTATTTTTCTTTTCTTTTTAACAATACTGAGGATTGAACCCAGGACCTATGAATATTCTAGGCAAGCACTCTACCACTGAGCTACATCCTTACCCCTTCTTATTTTATTTGGAGACAGGTTCTCACTAAGTCGCACAGGTTGGCCTTGAACTTCAGATCCTCTGCCTCAGCCTCTGAACTAACTGGGATTACAGGAGTATGCCACCATGTCTGGCTCAGGCTGGTTTTCTGATGATCTCAGAGAATGGAATGTGCATTATAACTGCTTTTAGCCATAGTGAAAGGGGATAGATGAAATAAGGATACATAAAAAGGAAACCAGGAAAATTGTAAAATTTATTTTGTTTTGTTCTGTTTTTTTATATTTGTTTATTTATTTTTGAGACAGGGTCTCCCTATGTAGTTCAGTCTGGCCTTGAACTCACAATGTAGGACAAGCTGGCCTGCAACTCAGTGATCCTCCTGCTTCAGCCTCTCAAGTGCTGGGATTATAGGCATTCACTACCATTCCCAGCTTGTTTTTTTGTTTTTAGAGACAGGGTCTCACTATGTAGTTCAGGCTGGTCCTGAACTCACTATGTAGCCCAGACTGGCCCTGAACTCATGTGATTCTCTTGCCTCAGCTTCATAGTCCTGGGATTACAGGTGTGTGCCACCATGCTCGACCTGGAGAATTGTAATTTAAAATTGTTCTTTTAAGAAAGAAAGAAAGAAAAGAAGAAAGCAAAAAGAAGAGTATTCTTGCCAGGTGCAGTAGCACATGCCTATAATCCCAGATAGTGGGGAGGCTGAGACAGCAGATTGCAAGTTTGAGGCCAGCTTGGGCAATGCAGTGAGATTTTGTCAATAAATAAATAAATAAATAAAGAGCTGTTGATGTAGCTCAATGGTAGACCATCTCTAGGTTTGACTCCCAGTACTGCAATAACATAAAATATCCATTAAAAGAAAAAAGAAAATGCTACAGCTTCTGGACATGTAGTTAACCAAGGTTGCAATGCCCTCCTCCCTTCCAGGAAACTTACTGCCTCTTAGATTCTTAAGGGTTTTAAAGATACAATAATCCTGTAAACTGAGCCTGTGCTTTTCTCCACAGACCTCCGCCCTCAAGGAAGCAGCACAATTCGCTGGGCAGCAGAAGCCCCCTTACTGTGTAGCCTGACAGACAATAGGAACACACATCCTCGATCACCTGTCTTCAAGACCTCTAAGACCACATGAACCCTTCTACCCCAGACCATAATGCACCTCTCTGAGGGCCTGCACACACATTGATTCTGTCTAATAAATCTTTCTAATGTCCCCCACTGATGTCCTGCAGTTCTTTTCTGTGATGTAAGTCAGTGAACCTACAATCTACCTGTTGGGTGGGGTGAGTTGAGACCTTCATGTCTTCTTTGGGGACCTCCTTGAACCCTATCCAGTGACACCAGGAGATAAAGGCAGTGGTATTTTTGTCCAATTCACAGTCATGAACCTTACGTGTAGAATGGAAATAAAGACCAACCTGATTCAGCATGCATCATACCAAGCCACCATCATGTAACTGGGCAGAGACTCAAAGACAGGCAAAGGAGTGGACCAAGTCTCATGAGAAAAGAAAGTCTTCAGATATGCCCTGCAGAGGCTGTTGGCCTACAGGTTCTAAATTGGAAATCAGGACAAAAATTAGGGAAATTGTCAATTAATAAATTCTGGTTCTGTAGGGCTCATTATCATTATGGGGTGTTATGGTTTAGATCTAGAATGTCCCCCGAAAGTCTCATGGGTTCAGAGGTGAGGTTTTGGATGGTGACTGGATCATGGGGTGTGACCTGGAGGTGTGACTGAAAGAATACACACACACACATACACACATACACACATATACACACTCCTCTGGTCTCTCCCGTCTCTCTCTGCTTCCTGGCTACAGTCATGGGAGCAGCTGTCCTCCACTTGGCTCCTTCACTGTGCCATTTCTGCATTGGAGCCAGTTCACCACTATGAGCCAAAGGAAGCCTCTTCCCCTTTAAGATGCAAATGTTGCTATTGTGTCTCAGCCAGGAGAAAGTGACTAACGGTACAGGTGTTGTTTGGCCTCCAGGTTTAATTGCTAAAGATAATGATCTGACTTCCTACAAGTCTGAGTTGTAGATAGCAGGCTGGTTATTGTCAGTAATAGGTTGATCTCTTAGGTTGGTGGATCCAGATGATGATCAGAATTCTATCTTTTGATATGTCCTGGCCACTGTCCATTCATATAGTCAGTCTCATAGACTTAAAACTGCTTGAATCCAGGCTTTGTTCTGGTTGTGAGATGAGGAGGTCTTGCTATGCTGTTCAAGCTGAGTTCAAGTGATCCTGTCCCTTCAGCCTCCCAAGGGGCTGAGACTACAGGCATGTACCTCTATGCCCAGCAAAAATGTGAAACTTTAAAACTTGTCTACCAATTCTGTGTGTGTGTGTGTGTGTGTGTGTGTGTGTGTGTGATGGGGACTGAATCCAGCATCTCACACATGATAAGCATGTTCTACCCCTAGGCTACACTCTCAGCCCCTAAAATTTTAAGGGCACAATAATAATAAGTTTTACATTTGAAGAAAATGGTTTCATCACATTTTGTGTATGCATAATTGAAAATCTTAAAGATATTGCCAACTTTTTACCCAAAAAGCACATACTAATATGCAAAGTAGCTGAGTGTGGTGGCACATGCCTATAATCCCAGGACTCAGGAGGCTGAGGCAGAGGGATTGTCATGAGTTCAAGGCCAGCCTGAACTACATAGGGAGACCTTGTCTCAAAAAAATTTTTAAAAAAAGAAAACTATTTGCCAATATATACATTTTGAAGGCTCTGAGGACACATGACTTAACTGTCCTGCAAAGAACATGAACAATTGATGTTCTATCCAACAGTGAAGAATGTCCATT